AGTTGAGAAACTTATAGAGTTTCTATTCTTTCACTCTGAAGCTTTATCTTATATGCATATAAATATTCACTTCAATTATCAATTCTCATACTATCTCTTTTATTTTCCTTCTCTAATATTTTTTACTTTTATTATATAAGACCTATATCTTAATACTGATCTATTCAGTGTAGATCTCTTACATGAATAAATGAATAAGAACTGAAATAGAGTTTATATATACTATAAAGAGATTTTTTTAATAGCTATTTAATACTGTATAAAAGAAGAGAGTTATATCTTTAAATATTATATTTATATTTACTACTACTAATTTATATTTATTCAATTTAGAATGAGTTCTTAAAAAGCTTATAATACAGTTTTACACTCTCTTAGATATATAATATTAATTAAGAATCTCTACTTCTATTATTAATATATATAAATTAATAAAGTAAGTTAAATAATAGTAATATTAAATATCTAGTAATCTTAACTAGACTGACAGTGTGACCGTGTCTGAGACCAGAATCAAACTTTACAGTTATTATATTGTCTAAAAGTATTACTTCTGATTATGATTTGTGTTCATCACATTGATCTCAAATTATGTTATTTCAAATATTAAAGATCTCAGATTTACTTTTCAAATAAAAATCTAGTCTTAGATAAAGAATATATTTAAATTCTTAGTCATATTTTCATTCTGATCTCATTATTGAAAATGATATTAAATGAGATTATGAAATCATTTCTCACTTACATAATATTATAACATAGTACTCATTTGTTGAAAATTCAATAGAGAGTATTATCAAATATTATTACTTTTTTAAATATAGATTATAATTAATATCATTTTAATTAAAAAAAATATAAAATACAAAAAAAAAAATAAAACAATAATAAGAAAAAATCACAATAAAAAAAAGAGAAAGAAAAAAAGAAGAGAAAGAAAAAAAGAGAAAGAAAGAGAAAGAAAAAAAATAAAAAAAAATAAAAAAATAAAAAATAAAAATAAAAAAAATCAAGATTGTAGAACTGTAACACTCTTAAAATACTCACTTCTCAGAGTCTTTACAATATTTATTATTAACTGTGTATTTCTCACAGTAAGAGTAACAGAGCTGTAATGAGTTATTATCTTAATATTATCTAATAAATAATCAGTATATATCTATATAATTGTGAATAATTAGAAAATATACACTTAAAAAGTGTGATCAGAGTGAACTCTGCTGTCACTTAAATAATATCAAGAATAGAATACTGAAATTAATGATTTCTTTCATTGATTTCATAGATAAGACATGTAAAGATGATCTTGAAAAATATAAGATTCTCTGACTTCTGATAAAAACAGATCTTATAAAGAGACTCTATTTTCATTATATCAGAGACTGAGTGTTATTAAAAAGTATTACTTTAATACATATACACTTACTGCAGTGATTCACTCTCTGTGTATATAACTGAGAATTATAACTTTCTTATATCACACAGCTCTCTCTGAGATGCTGCTGCTGATTTGTAATTCATACAGTCTCTTAGTTCAGTACATACTGTATATATACAGCTCTGTGTACTGAGGTCATATTAATTATTATAGTCTGATATAGTACTCACTTTTCACAGACTATGTTTCATTTAATTAAAAAAAGAGAGAATGTGACTACTGTTTTATTTAAGAGAGAGTGAGTAATTAAATCTGTAGAAGATAATTTAATTTCTTCTGCATTTAAAATTTAATTAGTCTATACTCTTCAATTTGAGAATTTCTGAGAGTGTTTTAATAGTTTTCATATCAGCTTGAAATTAGTGATTGATTGAAGAAGAGAAAAGAGAGAAGAAAGAAATAAAAATAACTTATCTTTATAATATGAAAATAAATAATTACTGTAATTATTTATTCTAGTAATAAAGATCTGTTTTCTGCATGTATCTCTGATACAGATTATATAATAACTGCATATAAAGAATATCAACAGTGTATGTATTAAATAAAGATAATATTACTATATAATACTGTAGCTGTTTCTGTACATCACTGAAAGCTGTTAATATTTTCTTTGAGTCTCTTTATATTTAATAAGTTAGTAATATATTTCAATACACTCTCTCTTTTATTATTATTATTATTATTATTATTATTATTATTATTATTATTATTATCATCACTATTATTATTATTATTATTATTATTATTATTATTATTATTATTATTATTATTATTATTATATCATTTCTGACTGTCTCTTCTATCTTCACTTCTCTTCAACACTTACTGAAATCAATTATATTATTCTTCTTTAAATATTCTATGATTCTGTGAATTGCTAAGGTGTGTGAGCACTATTACAGATTGAAGAGAGAGAAGAAGAAGATATTTCAGTGAGAGAAGACAGATTATAAAACATGTTATAATATCTTGAAGAGACTCTGTAAAAGAGTAGAATAATAATAATTTTAAGTAATACTTCTGATAGATTTAGACTGAACTAAGTATAGAAATAATATGAATGACATCATCTATAAAAGATTGAAGAAGAAGACAGTGAAGAGTCTTATACAGTAGTGATAAGATCAGAAGAAGTTCTGAGAATAATTTAAGATCAAGATAAAGAGAGAGAGAGAGAAGAAGAGTATTACTATAAATAAGTAATAATAGAAGAAGATTGAGAGAGTATTGAAGTAAGAGATAAAGAAGTCAAAACTGATAAGTTTTTTATTTATTAAAAGATAATGATTTTTAATAATACTTCTGTTCTCTAATTGATTAGCTGAAGCTGACAGAGAAGAAGAAGATTAAGATCTTATTCAGGTCTTGAATACACTTTATAATTCAGAATATTGAGAAGACAGCTCTGCTCTCTGAGTATATCAATCTACTTACTGCTGAGATGAAATCTGAGACAGCAGATCAGAAAATGCAGAATTTTAAGATACAGATTAATCTGACTGAGAGAGAGCAGTGAGAACTCTTCTCTGAGAAGATAGTGAAGAGAGATTTTAAGATAATTATTATCTCAGATAAGAAGAAGAAGAAGAAGAAGAATAAGAAGTAAATTATAAAGAATAATAAGAAGAATGAGAAAGAGAAGAAAAATAATAAGTAGAAAAAGTTATTTTCTTTTTATATTAGTTAGTTATAAGTTCATAATTATTAATAATTGAAATTAATTTTGAGTTTTTAAAAATTATTGTACAAGTTGTAATCAAGTCAGGAATAATATATATATATATATATATTTAACTATCATGATTCATAAATCACTATAATATATAAGTATTAATGATTTTTCAATATTAATATTCATAATATTAATATATTTTTAATAATATTATCTAATAATATAATTTAGTAATACTCTCTTTTTCAATATTAATATATTTCAAGAAATATGACAGAGATTAATCAAGATTATTTATTTACTTTTATACATTGATAATATTCAATCTGAGTTAGTACTAAAATTATAATTAAGCTAAGAAATAAGATTATTTTCTCTTATATTAATTCTTCTTACACACATCAGTGATTAGTTATTGAAAATAAATTATTATCTTTTTCAAATTATTATCATATCTTCTGAATTCACTTCTTTCACTGCTTTTATTTCTATTAAAGATTTATAAACTCTTTAAGAAATCACTGTAAATTACAAAGTTTATATTATTTATAATTCAATACAGAATACTCTTTTTTAATTATAATAAATAATTACTTCATTCTTCACATCTGATTCCAGGTCATGAAATTTATAAAAAACTCAATACAAATACTGAGATGAACTATGAAATAATTATTAATAGATTGTATTATAGATTACTGAAGAGTTATCTCTCTGCTATAATTACTATAACTTTATTCAGAAATATTCATTATAAACTGATTATAACTCTGAAAAAATTTTCTGATATCTGAAGTTATCAGAATACAGATAATAAAAGAAAAATAATTAGAAAATTACTACTGAGTTGATAAGTTACTCTATCAGATAATAATTTTTAATAATACTAACTTTCTACTTTGAAGAAAATTATGTGAAAATAATTATATATTAATACTGTAATGTGATGGAACCGAAGCGGTGGCTAGTCAGCAGCATCACATAGGAGTAGTTGTTTGAGAAGCCGTATAAGTGAGCTTGACTATCTTGCTTGAATAGCGAGCTCATAGGCTACAAGATTATTGCAAGGATATCACAGATATAATACTTAGTATACTAAGAAGATTGTATGAGACATGCAGTAACTCTTGTATATATTTCAGTAGAAGCAAAATGAATTACTGACTTCTTTGATGAGGAGTCAGCATCTAGCTATTCTATATAGACAATGGACAGATACCCTCCTCTCATTTCATAAGCAAGGATAGCCAGAGCGATACCTCAGTGATGCCTCATTACCAAGAAAGAGTAATCTGCTGATCTTGTATAGAAGTGAGATTCTCATATCCATTAATCAGATCTTTCTATAATATATTCAAATGATGTCATAGAGTGATTGAAAACCAGTTCAGACAGGATGAAATCATTCACATGAAAGTGATGAGCTGTGTGAAACTGCAACAGAGTCTTAGCACAGTCAGAAGTGTGACAATGTCCTTCTTCTTAAGAGCATAGTCTCTATGCTCTCAAGATTACTGAATTAGAAATTATCTTTGTTATATAGCAATGATTATCAACTGATTTGACAGCACATGTGCTGCATGTGATACAAAGGAATAGATGAGTTATTCTGCTGACTGTGTAGATCTTTCTTTTCTCATCTTCATTCAAATCAAACACATGATAAGTGGGTTTCTTATATATCAATTTGAAATGAGGAAAATGTAGTTAATAAGTGACTTGCAGATCTCTCATCATATTTTATTCTACATATGAAATTCCCTATAAAAGTGGTGTGTTTTAGAGACAAAGCTGACAGTAGTGACAGGATTTTTCAAAAAGATCCTCTTCTCTGTGAAACATTTTTCTTCTCTCTCCCTCAATTGCAACAGTGAGTGCATGAAAGTATCATTCTTGAAGAACAATCAAGGGCTTATTCTGATGTTTTCTAGTGAATAAACATCTTTGTGGTGCGGCAGTGGTCTCTGTGACTGTCAAGAAAGCCAGGTTGAAGACAGTGATGTCAATGAGCCGCGGGAGCACTGCTCTCATTGCCACACCTCCTCCTGCTTCTCTTATGGCCATGATGATTCTGCTGGTTGGTGCATCTATGTCTGATCTGTCCCCTGCCCCCTCTGCCGCTGTTGCGACACCGCCCCCCCCCCCAGCCAATACAGTGATGTATGACCCTGTGTGATCATTCAGAGAGAAACCTGGGGAGAGCTTGGTTTCAGAAACAGTGACTCTGAGAAGCTCAATCTGTAGTTCCCCTCCTGCAGCACGCCTGAGCCCTGCTCAGAATGCTGCTGAGTTGAGTCTGCAGAGTCCTGCAGTTCCTTTGTCTTCTCTCTGTGAGAAGGCTTCAGTGCAGTCTCTGACTGGCACTGCTACTTATCTGTACTGCATCAAGCAGCTGAAGAAGAAGAGGATTTTATACACTCACTTCTTCTCTCACTTCTATTATTTCTGTTATATCTGTAACAACAACTCCTGCCTCTCTGTAAGTATTATCTCACAGGAAGACATTATATTGATTCTGATAAGAAGTCTAGGTACTCAAGTAGTACAGAGCAAGAGTCTCAGAGCTTCAAGTGTTGATGAATTCTGTCAAGACTGAAGAGATCTCTCTTACTCATCTGTAAAAGAAGATGAAAATGTGAGTCTCTGAGATGAAAAAACACCTCAGAATGACTGATCTTAAGAAGAGATCAGTCAGTGCTGCTGTTGAAAGTGTCACAGAGATTAATTACTGATTAAAGAGAATCTCACTTCAACTGAAGCAGATGACTGAGATGCTTTGTAAGTTGATAAGTTAACATTTTATGCATTTCTCATGCTCTTCTGCAGTGCTGCAGCACTAACTTCTCAGCAGATAAAGATATCAGTGTTAGAGACTTCAACAGTGAAGAATGAGTTTGATGAGAGTGTGATTATTGATAAGTAAGTTCTGAGATTCTCTCTTTTTACTTTTTCAGCAGGCTGCAGTCTCATTAGATTAGTAGTAGTCTGTAGATTGATTAATATTAATCTTTTTATTGATTTCAAATATCTCTTTCTTTTCCTTATTAATCACTTCAGGAATTTTACACTTGTGTAGTCTTATTAAACTTCTAAAAAATCCTTTAAGAGAAAATAGAAGAAGAGTGCTACAGAGTCTACAAGACACTGACTCATCACTGCAAGATTATCTCTAAAAAACCCTTTGAGAAAAATGAGAAGTCTCAAGTGACATTTCTTATTCAACATCTCTGATGTGTAACAGAGCAGTCTCTACTAGTCACCTCATAGGTTGCAATCTCTTTCTCAGCATTTTTCAAATGCTCAAGCAGTTCTCATAAATTCTCTGATGATGAATAATCTTCTCATTTAATGAGATATTGAAGCTTGCTGTAATATGTTCACTTGTTCAATATTTTCTTCATAAGATATTCAGTATCACTCTTAATCTTGATGTCATTCAGCTGAGGCAGCTCTGTCTTGAAGCATTGCTTATAGAGCTTCAAATAGAAAATGTGAAAAACAGAATGAATTGATTTCAATTCTGTGAGTAATTTCAACTCATATGTCTGCTTACTTATCACTCTTGTTATCAGGAAAGATTCTAGTCATCACTCACTGAGCTTCTTACACAGTCTCATTGTCTTGATGTTCTTTGCTAAAAGTAGCACTTGATTCTCTATCAAGAACTTCATTGAAAGATGTTTTTGATTGTAGTATTTCATCTACTGCTTCTGAATGTGATGAATGCTTTTCACTGCCTTCTTATGAATTTTGTTCAAAAGTTTCAATCTCACTTTTACTTCTGACACTGAGAGATACTCTGTTCTCTGTACCTGTCTGACATTCTGACTGTCTATTTCTCTCTTTGAAACATTGTTCACAATGTCACTGAATAACAAAGGATTATATTCATAATAAGCATAGAAAGGAGATATCTTTAAGATTGCATTCTTTGCATTGTTATATATGAATTCAGTGATCAGAAGATGTTTGAGTCAATCATTCTGATGATATGAACAGAATACTTGAAGATGCTGTTCTAGTGTCTGATTCTGATGTTCAGTCTGACCATCAGTCTGTGAATGAAATGCGGTACTGAGAAGACATCTTATTGTAAGATGATAGCAAAAAGCCGACCAGTACTTGCTGATAAAGAGGGATTCTTGATCTGTTATCAATGATTTTGAAGCATCATGATTATGAATGATAGTATCTAAAAACAGATCAGTCAATTCAGAGGCTTTAACCTTTTTATGAATAGAGATATATCTGGTCATCTTCATGAAGTAGTCAACAATGATCAAAATTGAGTCATATTCTTTGACTCTTATCAACTTCAGCAGGTCAACTATGAAATTCATTGATAGATTCTGTTATAAGTTCTTTGAAACAGACAGTGATGTCAACTCACTGTATTACTTATATCACAGAATCTTTATTCTTTAACAGACATTGTAAGTTTCAATATACTCTTTGACATCTGTCTGAAGCTTATCTCAAGTGTATTTATGTTTTAGAAGCTTCTCAGTCTTCTCTAACCCAAAGTGCCCCACATGGGAATCATTATAATGAATTCTCAATAACTTCTGGCGCACTGCCCTGCTATGAGAGATAAAGACTGAATCATTCAGCAGTAGGAGTTCACATTCTTCTAGTTATCAGTGACTTGATTCCTTAGCAGCATCATCTCACTCAGAGTCTGTCTCTTTCAAGTTCAAATCAGATTCTTTCTTCTTCAACTTTTGAATTCAAGCTGCAGTAGAGATGTCCCTCTTCTATAACTCTTCAATGAATTTTAAAAGTAGTCAGATTAAAAGATTGTAGACTGTTTCATTCTTTGTCAATTCAATGATTGTAAGATATGACATGAGAAGCTCATGATCTTCAGTGTCAGTTCTTCATGAAGACTCAGGTTCTCTTTCACCTTCTATACTGAGTCACACAGCTGCCTCTCCGGCGCCATTTTCAAGCTTTAGAGAACCTCAATCCCCTGCAGCCAGCTTCTTCTGCAGTGATGACAGAGATTCTTTTGTAGAATTCTTCTCTGCATCAATGATATTATAATCAGGCCATCTAGACAGCACATCAGCAGGGTTAAGCTGACCTGAATGATATTGAATATAGAAATCATACTCTGAAAGCAGCTCTGCTCACCTGACTTGATATTCTGTCAAGCTCTTTGTTGTCAAGAAGTAACACAGATTTGCATGATCAGTGAGGACTTACACTGAGTACTTACTACTCTGAAGATAATGTCATCAGATCTTAAAGAATTTAATAATTGCTAACATCTTCTGATCATGAGTATCATACCTTCTCTGCATGAGTGATAACTTCTTGAAGAAGAAGGTCACTGATCTTCATTCACAGCATCTTGTAGACTTCATGAAAAAGCCTTCTCTCACAGATAATTCATTATCTGTTTCCTCAGAAGTGATTATTCTCTGATTCTTTCAATGTTGAAAGGTCTTCAGTGTCAACTGTGAAAAGATTTCACAGATCTCATTCTCAGATATGTCAGTCTCACACTGACTGAGTAAGTTGAGATTAAAGTGATTCAGTATTATGACATCTGTGAAAGCTTGTTTCAATTCTGCAAACACCTGCACAGCATCTTGAGTGAGGATAAACAGTTCTGTTTTTCTGTCTTTCATACTTTTCTTCAACAGATCTGTAAGAGAGGCAGTAATCTGTGAATATGCATAGATGAATCATCTATAGAAATTCACAAATCCTAGAAACACCTGCACCTCGCGGTACATCCGCAGCACTGGCCAGTTCTCAATGATGGAGACTCAGCTCCTGTTCATTGAAATGTCATTCATCTTAATAACATAATCTAAGAAATCAATCTCCTGCATGTAGAACAAGCATTTTTCAGTGTTTGTATAGAGTTAATACTATCTCAAGTGACTCAATACTTCTCAAACATGAATATTGTGTTCTTTCTCTGTTTTTGAGAAGATTAGAATGTTATCCAGGTATACTATGCAGGAGACATTAACAAGGCCCTGCAGTGTCTCATTTATATAGGTCTGGAAGATGGCTGGAGCATTACAAAGATCAAAAGATAAAACAAGATATTCAAAATTACTGTACTTGATATGAAAAGCTGTTTTTCAAACATTGTCTTCATTAACTCTGATTCTATGATAGACATTCTGTATATCAATCTTCAAGAACATCTTTGCTTCAGATAATTGATTAATCATCTCATCAATTAACAGTAATGAATAGTGATTCTTAACTATCATCTTATTGAGACCTCTGTAGTCTATGCATAGACATAGCCTATCATCCTTCTTGAGTACAAAGAGTATAGATGTCTCTGTCAGACTCTTTGATGAATGTATTCAGTTCTTTGATTGCACTTCTTCAAGATATTTATGCAGAATATTCAACTTCTTTACAGACAAGTTGTAAAGAGGCCTGTACAGTGCTGTTGCACTGTCTTCAAGACAAATCTTATATTATATCTTGATATCAGAAAACTTCACTGCTTTCTTTTCTGAAAAGACATTCTTAAAATCTGTAAAGAGATATCATGTATATTCATCTTCAATGACAGATACTGCTGCTAATCTTGCAGTGAGAGTGATGACTTCTCCACCTGTCTCCAAGTCTCAATCACCTGCTACACAGTATATTGACTCAATCTTTTTCTCAAGATTCTTCTGATGAAACTCTTCAGATTTCTCTATTACTGTCTCTTCATTAGTGAGACAGTACTGTCACATCTGAGTGACTCAGTCAATGAGAGAATTGTTTTCTCTCAATTATGAGAGACCTAGAATGACATTCTCATCTATGATGTTGACTGTGTGAAGAAGCAGACTGCTCTTCTTAGAGGTTTCTTCTGAGTCTGTGGCCACACACTTTGCTTGAATTATGTTAAAATGATGACATTTTGTTTCATCTGTAAATTTTGCATGATCTGACAGACCTATCTTCTTTCAATCCTTCATTAAAGAAAAGGAATAGAATATGAAGTTGACATCTGTCTCAGAGTTAAGTAGACATCTCACTGATATCTTCTTATTCAGAGTATGCATTGTGATTGTAACATGAACTCAGAGATATAAGAA